TTCTTCTGTAGGCCTTCATTTCTTATTTGAGAGGTGGAAAGTCTATGAAGGATTACCTAGGGTATCGGTATGTAGTTGTTTTAAGGAAAGGCTCTAGGCCAGGATTTTGATTAGTAGAGTAAAGAGATAGCACCTATCTTACTTTAAAAGAAGTACTGGTACAGGTAAACTATAGAGAACACATAAAACACACCCACACACACAACATTTATTTTGTTCCCGGACATTTTTAAGTGTAGACAAAGAGATTTCACAAAATTGTTGCTGTCATGGCTATTAAGAGTGAAAAAAAAAATTTAAAACGAGTGCAAGACTATATAAGCCTGGTTTGCCTTACAGAAGGCAATGGAATTCCTTTTATTCTTAGGACACTAGAAGTGAGTTGAACAATTATTCAAATTGTTAACGAGTAGCCAATTGTTGAAGAGTTACAATTAAACGTCTGTTACAGTGGTGAGTCTGCAGGAGTTGTGTTGCCGCAGTATTGTTGCACGCACCACGGTCTACGGCATAGACCAGCTCCCCCTCCCCACGACTATCAAGAATCACCTGCGGTCGTACGCGCTGACATCATTCACTACGATGCCGCCACGGTGCCGAGGAGACAAGCGACCACAACCCCCCACCCCTCCACACCCCACCCCGCGCCACTCTTGCTCTGTGTCGTGATACCCGCACCAGTGATGCCAACTGTGTAGGTTAAAATGTTTTTATACGAGATTTTCGCATTTAGATATCTGTAAAGAGTCTTCATCACTGCTCTGTTGTACTATTAGTTGGTGCTGAAAAGTACCCTCATCAGTCAAATGGTTTTTTTTTTTAGCAACAAGGAGTTGGATACAACAATAAGTTTTTTGGAGAAAAAATCACTTGGCTAGGAATTAAGGAAGAAGGAATGGATGCACAACCTGAGAAAAGAGTTCCATGTGTCTAGTTCAAAGCACACAAAAAAATTTACAACACAATAAACTTTATTTTTGTACCTACATAAGATAGAAGTCTATACATTAGAAGGATAACAAATAGTTAAATGATTTTACACTTTTGAGTTTACCAACAATTTCAACCAGTCAACCAGTTTTCTAAAGAAATTAGATAATAATTTACTGTGTAAGAAATCTGGGAGTCAGTACTTTGGTGACCTATTTTACAGGTAAAAAATACCCCCGCCTCAGCACACCTGTAGACTAAGAGAATTTCATTTACCTGATTTGATTTTCACTTAAATCTATTTAAGTGACATTAGGTTTAATGGGTACCTAGGTTTGCTGCTACAGGGAGGGTAAAAAAGGGCGTTTTTTTTAAATATTAATAGCTTAGTATAAATTAAATTTGCCAAGTTTGATCAAAATATATCCATAAACAAGCAAACTAAAACAGTTTACTTATTCTCAGTTGACTGACTGGACCTATAGATTGCCCCCTCCCATCAATCAATCCATAGGTGAACTACAGGCTGGAAATGTCCAGTCTACTTTGGCCTGTTCATGCATTAGAGCACAACAAATATGTTAAGGTTGTTTGTAGTAGTAGATTTTTTTTGCCTACTAAAATTCTCTTCAACATTTTCAAGATTAAAAAGTGTTTTCTCAACATTATTGTTGAAAAATTAAGTTTTCAATAGTCTCGTTCTAGTAGAGTTTATTGTTATAATTTCCTTGTAATAGAAGGTTTATTTTATGATTTGTTAAATGAAAATGAAACAGTGAACAGTGCTTAAGTCGATCAGAGTTGTGATGGAGACTCTTAACTAATATAGTTACATTGTGAAACTTAAGCATATTGTCAGAACTAGTTTTAACCCTAGAACTGGCAACCATGTATCACAAATATGTTTTACCGTAACTATGTAAATGTGACTAGACCCAGCTGTCCTTAATCATCGGGCTTTCAATAAATGTCCTGACTAATGAAACAGCTGGTCTTAGTCAGTAACAAAGCTACACAAGGCATCACACTCCATTCTACACTCATCCTTCACTCATATTTAGGTTAAAATATACACATAGGTGGCATCCCCATCTCAAATGAATATGAACATATTCAGTTAAAATCTTGCTACAAAATAGGTTCATTCGTGCAAGAGCTGATGAAATAAAACTGACATAGCTAATTGCAAACCTTTAGCAAGATAATTTTTTTTTTTCAATATTTATGTTCTATTGGCAGTTTGACCTACTTTTTGACCTACTTTACCAATGTGGCCACCCAAACCTGAGGTTTACGGTCACACCAAGAGCTTTTCAAAACCTGTCTTCATTTTTCATCCCCTCTAACTAATGTCACTTTTCCAATATTTTATCATTTAGGCCTATTTTAGTTAAAAAAATAAAGCAAAATAAGCCAACTGCTATGTTGTTCTGTAAACTAAAACAATTATTTCTCAAAACAAAGGAAACTACATGTTAACAAGCATTTCTTGGGGGTAGGCTCTATCATAGACAAAAGAATTGAATTTAGACCAACAGCAGTGCTGCGGTTAGCATATATTCTGACGTCCACCGCTAGGAGTTTCGGCGCACACCGTTGCAGTGTCAAGTGCTAGTGAGCGTTACCATGCCAAGTTGGTAGTTGGAGCCAAGATTGCCAACTTCTGGAGAATTCCCCAGAATCCGGGGGGTAGGAGTTTGTTCCGTTATTTATTTGTGTTAAAAAATTTCCAGGGATAAAAAATGGGCTTTTTTGTTAAAATTACGGGATTTGAGAATTTTGTACTTCACCCATATTGAAAAGTGGGTCTGATACGTTGGTAGCCTTTTGTTTGCAAGGGTAGTAGTGCTGGTAGCAGACAGTGAGTAGACTAGGGCAGCAAATCAACGAACACTGAGCATGCAAGCGGCACATCGTGGAACCTTCCTTTGGCAGTCTAAATTTATTTACGGCTATATTCTAAAGCTTAGTAGCTGAATTGTAGTCATGAATTATGGATATCTATAGGCATGACCAGTGGATGCAATACTCCCTGGTGTGAATGAACGTTCACATTAGTGAGTACTACTACTATCCGCAGTACTATCCTGATAATTAGAGCAATTTGTAAATTACTTGGCAAAAATGAGGTTCGGATTTCAATATAAACTGTAGGCCCCTTAGTTTAGTTGCCTTTGGCTGTATGGGCTATTAATTAACAGTTAGGAACATGTCAGCCTTAGTCACCAACAAGACTACAATATCGCACCACTCATCCTACATTCATCAACATTCATAATTGCTTTAAAATACCTAGGCCTACCTTTGTACGGTCGCCATATCAGTCAAGAGTATTAAAGAATAACTACGATTTTGCAAATGAAAACATTAGACATTCTAGATACAGACCATAACACAGATACCTTCTTTACCGTTAAATTAATTGTTTTGGCCGTCGTGCTGAAGGAAAGCAGTTTTGCAAAACAGTTCTAGGGTTTTAACTTGTCATTGCTAATATAGGTTGAACATATTTAAGACTATATATAACATTTAAGGAGAACAAACACTAAAGTCAAGGCCATAACGCTGGTGTGTACATAATCCAGGGACCTAGTCCTACTTCAACCTTTTCTATGTAATTTTTTTATTCTTCCTACCAGTTAAAACTAATAAATGAAACAGGAGAACAGTACTTCACACCTTAAGTTGATATACAGTATGTATTTAACCTTATAAAAGTTAAACATTAAAATTGCCAACCTTTTTTATTTGGTATATGAAGAACGATTTATTTGGATTTCCGAAGTTGAAGGAATTATCTGACAACTAGCTTCTCCCACAGGTTTTGCATCAGCTTTTACTTACACATTTTACTGATTGATAAAACTGTAAAGAATCTATGATACTTTCGAACATACTTGTTTCTTGGTGATAATAGTACAAATTAATGGGAAAGTTGAAAGCATTTTTTGTGCTGACAACTTAAGAATACAGATTTCAAATCAGTTATTACAATTACTTAACACTCTTAACAGTGATATTTAGCTTTTGTTCAGGTTGTAGATAAACAAATTGTTATTGTTTAGCACAAACAGTTTTCTCGTGAATTTTTAAAACCCATTAACTTATTTAGTATTTTAACCAGCACAAAATGTGAGACTTCTGAAACTCGTCACAAAGTTTGGCATTGTAAATACGTTTGTAAACGTTTGTGTTGTTTTCTTGAGTTTATGTCCTGTCATGTCCTTAGTTTCTTACTCTATTGTACATTTTTTATATTTGTTGTAGTTTCGATTGTACATTTTTACATTTAGATTGTATTAGATTTGTATTTATTGTGTGGGAAAGTATTGAAGTGTTTCAAGATGTTGAAAGTTTGCAATACAATTCTTTTACAAATGACTGGCTCAAAAGGTATTTTGAAAATGAAATCTCCCACAACATTTAAACATCTTGAGAAACTTCAGAGTGCCTTGTAAGGACTTTCTTCACTTAGGGACAGAAAAATGGCTCAAGCTTAATAATATCTAGTCACTGGTAAAGGTTAAATTACCTCAATGTTTATTGTTGATTGAGGAAGAGCATCGTCAGCCTAGAAAGTCCTTTACAATTGCAGAATGATAGGTTGTCTTATGATTGATGTCTAATCCATCCAAAAGGGCCGAATTGGTTGAATCTGTCCATTCGTCATATTTTAGCATTGTAATATCAAATAAAATTGTTGTAATTACGTAATGGTGAGTTCATTTTTGTAACCCTTAAAGTTTAAAAAAGATCCTCAAAGCTTGTTAAACTTTATACAACCTTTTAATCCTAATTGCAATATCAACTTTTGAACCAGACATATCCCTTTATGAAGTTTTAAGTACGCATATATCAAAGTTAAGCAGCAATGTGATTTTAATTTGTAACACCACCAGTGTAAATGGTGAATCTAACCATAGCAACCTCTTACAAATCAATGTTATTTCAGAATAAAATTATATCCTCCTGATTGATTTTGCTTTCTATGATCAATTGATTGCTTAAAAATAATAAGTAGCTCTAAAAGAAAAACAGCATTTTGAATTGTTATTTTTTTACTACAAAAACATTATTCACAATCACAATTTTGTTTTTACAAGTTTACAAAATGTTACAGCAAATGACAAGTTAAAACTCCAGCAGAAGAAAAACAACAATCATTCCTTGTTACATTCCAGCCGCATTGATGTGTTGATAATTAATCTTGAAGTCATTTTGTGGGTTGTCTTCTCTTGGTATTGAGCTGGAAGATACAATGACAAGTTTATTTATTTTTTTATAGAACTTTATATGGGGGAGAGATAAATATACGAGGGCTGTTTAGAAAGTACAGAACAGAATAAAATAAAAAGCTGCTCAAGACGTAGAATAACCCTTTAGGCTAGGTAAAACCATAAACTAACCAACACAAGTAGACTTCTCATCCCATTGTAAATTTTGAAGCTCGTTTTTCATGTCTAGTTCATGTACGCCACACTGGGCGCTAGTGTCGACGAAATTTTGTTTCTATTATTTTAGGGTTAATTTCTTGATTTGTGCTTTACTGTTTGGTTAAATAACTAGGGGACAATATATTGTTTATGATTAGATCGTATTATTTGGCTAAACGAGGTTTTAAATGACTGTATTAACGGAAAACAAATTGTAAACAAAACACGACCTCTACATAAACCGTACAGAACTAACAATAAAATTGTCTTCAGCTGTTCCATTAGGATGAGAAATCTACTAAGGGAGTATGTTTTATCTATGGTAAAACCTAACTGAAGTTCCTCTTCCCTCATGACTCACAAACAAGAGTGCTAATACAAAGTCTTAATTTTTGAAAATACTCGGGGCAAGGTATGGGCTGTAGGGTGGTTAAAGGAAAATAATGTATTTGAATAAATTAAAGAGCTTGTGTGCAATTTGCCGAGTGAGGTCAGGTACTGTCATGGAAAGACAAATTTTGTATATCAATTTAAGCCTCAAGTGTGACCATTAAGTTTATAGCTAACAAAACCTGTATTATAGCCCATACCTCACATCTAGTAGGATTTTCAATAACAGTACACGTTTTAAGCAATAATTTATTTCTTAATTAAACCATTTATACATTTAAATTTCTTCAAATGGTTTCATTTATTGTCTTTAATGCAAAAATGTACTGCAGTAGAACCTCGATGACAAGTGACATGGGGATCGTTAAATAACTTGTTATCAAGGTTGATTTCTTATCGAGGTAATAATAAGTAAGTAAAAGTAAGTATATTTTAAAATTATACTGCTTAAATGACTTGTTGAAATTCTACTGTATTTATTTAAGTTATTAAGTATATTAGTAAAGTATAACAGTGTGAAATTTCCCTTACTTGTAATAAGCATGATCCACTGAGTTACTTACACAGCAAGAATCCACTTCACGATTTCGAAGCCTTGTTGAGGCTGTATAGTTGCATGTCAGCAGCATAACGGACCTTTGACTTTTCATACATGTCATAGTATATCTATAACAACAATAGAATACAGATTAATTAATTACCAAATCTGTGATCATGCAAAACAGTAAATACCAATTTAATTTTACACTTTGAAAAGGAAAAGGTTGCAGCTAATTTAAGTACTTAATTTAGTAAATTAAGTGGTATTCGAGTGATAAGCAGTTGAAATACGTATAACCATAGGGTGTGCAGCGTCCCATAAAAATAAAATTCTAGGATGATTCCAGGTTTTCCAAAGTAAAAAATTACCAGAACAAAACTTGCCAACCAAAAAAGAAAAAACATACCTATTCATACTAGGCTTAAAATTCAAGGCTTTTTCACGGTCATCAAAATTTATTTAAATATCCCAGTTTTCCTGTTTTCCAGGTCGGCTGGACATCCTGACTCACCTTTTTCTCATTGGAGGGAAGTGCATTCCATCGAATGGCTAGTTGTTTTGTGACCTCCTGCTTGCTAGGTTCACCAAGACCTAAAAAACATGACAACAGATAGGTTACAACGGCAGATTATAGAGTGACTGATAGAAATAGATTATTTAAAATTATGAGTTTCAAAATTCAAGAGGAGGATGTTTTATGTTTATTGCTTCAAGGAAACCTAAAACCCGACCAAATACGATTGTTTCGCTATGATGTTAGCATAGCTAATAATGTTAACAGATGCAACATGGTCAGAATTTCATTGCTTTTCTTGCTCCTTAGGTAGTAATCTAGAAAGCACTACGTTTTTAGCCAATACTAGTGTAACTCAATAATTTATGTACTATTTCGATATAATATAATTGTTTACCTAGAATGTCTTTCAAATAAGCTGAAACCTGTTTTAGAAAACTTTGTAAAACAGTTGATTCAATTTTTTAATTTATAGTTTTAAACAATACAAACCTTGAGCGACCAAGCTCTCCAGCACAGTTGTTCTTTGTTCTTGACAAAACTGGAAGAACGGGTTGGCAGGACGTTTTGGCGCATTGGGATCTACTGGAGCCTTAGCTGTTTTGCGTTTTGGTGCAGAGTTACCACCTGCTTGGTTTTTGCGGCTCGTACTAGCTTTTTCTGCTGCCACTGTTGTAGGAGCTGTAGGTATTATCTGTAAGGTAAGAAATGAGATATAAATCTAACTCTTGAGAGAAGTAAGTGGTAAAGGTTTAAACTGTGCCCAGCTGTCCCTAATTATCAGGCTCTCATTGAAATGGTATAAAAGAAACGGCACTTTCCTGTTAAAGGGAACATTCATTATTATCGATGATTTCTTTTCGATATATCAATATTTTTTTATCTGATATATTGATATTAACAAATTGAAACTTATCAGCTGACAACTACGATAAATACTGTCCAGTATCAACAAACAATAAAAAAAAAAATATATATATATATTGAAATGTAATTGTTCTTAAATAACCAAACTTGCTGTAACATTTCAAAATTCCGTTTAATAGCCTATTCCCCATTCATTTTCTGTTATCAAACGAAATTTTGAAATGGTAACTTAGGCTACAGTAAGTTTGGTTAGTTATGTTAGGTTAGTTTAGAATAGAATTTCTTAATCCAATATATAGGCTAATATTTTTGCCTAAACAAGATTAGTTCTTAATCCTATTCTCTAATACGAGCTTATAACTCAACTCGGTTATTGAACCAAACCAAGTATAACTTAAACATATTTGCTATGTCTGTTTGTCTGTCTGTAATTTAAATGCGTTTGAAGATATTAAAACAGATGGAATATGGATCGTAAAGGAAAACAAAAATATTGATATATCGAAAAGAAATCATCGATAATGATGAATGTTCCCTTTAACAAGAAAGTACCAAAGAAACAGATGAATCTTTGATAGTAAAAGAACCATACAAAAATCTATTCTACAATTATTCCCCTTCATTCATATTCTGCCTTAATTACGCATCACCGTCTTCTATGTCATAATAATAATTAATAACAGTTAGTATGTTGCAACATTCCAAATTTTGGTTAATAGCGTAATTTATCAAAACACCTTTACTTTGTACAATACTGTATTAGTTAGAGAAATGATTTAAATACATTTCCAGAAATTGTTAGAAGAATTATAAAAGTTATTGGCCCTGTTCTTAAGACAAGAAAGAAGCATTGTTTGATTTTTTTTTAATTCACAACCAAGTTAACCATTTTATACCAATCAATAGAACAATCAGATTGAAGGTATGTGAATCTAATAATATTTGTCATAACACTTAAAAAAAAATCTAATTGGCATATTTTGCTATTAAGCCCATGATAGCTTGTAGAACACATATTCCAATATTTTCTACCCAGCATTAAGAGCCTTGATAGATGAATGGAAGGAAGCGTAAAGACATCTTACCTTAGATTTACCTGGATGCGTAAAAGGCTCATCGAGGGGCTCGTCCAACTCTATCGGCAACGGAAGAGATCGCCAACTGTCCCCATACCGGTCCAATCGTTCCATAAGAAATCTATATTTGAGATCACAAAATCATTACAGCAATTAACGTTCATGTTGTCAGCAATAAAACAAGATTAGTACAAATAACCAAAATTTGGTTTAGCTGCACATGTATGAAGCAGCAGTTTGGTGCATACAATAATTAATCAGCACACTGGTGTATATTGAATTAATAAGCGATAAAATATAAACTTCTTGATAATACAATTGGTCTGTTACAGCATTATACTTACAACATTAAGAAAAATAATACTTTAATAATAACCAGTTTTTATGTTATGTTTGCCTTATCAATAGCGTTTTTCAAGTTCTGTGTCGAGTAAAACTTCTCAAGTAAAAAAAAAATTTAATCCTACTAACCTCAGGATAAGTGTCTAATCCTGGGACTTCAAATTATAAAAACTGACCGTGATCCCAGGATTAAAACCCATACAGTTTTCATAGACTTCATGAACTAGGATATTTTGGAAATTCATTAGTTCATAAATTTTCTAAATTTGTTTTGTTGCAATCCAAAATTTTAACCTTGAGAAAATACACTGTACTGACTGTTACTGTTCTAAACTAGTATAAAACTGTTTAAAATTAGCTTCTAGAATGATTAGCCTTTAATAAAAAAAATAAAAAAAACTTAGGCCTCCTTATTTGGACAATTAAAGTTTAAAACAAATAAATTTCAAGTTTTTCTTCCATAACTTCAGCTTGTTTGTAAAATTTATAGTTCATTGTGGATAAAGCTTACTTCCGCTCTCGCCTGTTTCTTCGTAACAGCTTCTTAACTTTTTGAATCCGATTGGCAAGTCGTTCATTATCCTAAAAAAAAAAAACATTCTTTCAGTAGTATCTCTAAATAATAACAAGAAATGAGTGGGACTTTAATTACAACTAACAGGCCTAGAGTCTAGACTAGGTACGATCTATGATTATGTTCCTGTCGATATGTTTGTGATTTATTAAAATTAATTTAAAGTACGGAAAAGAAGCGCATAGTCCCACACCATGACATAACACACAAGTAAGTTAGCCACAGACTAAGCAAATTAAAAATAGGAAAGATAATTGTAAAAATTGTTCTCATACAATATTGAATTTTATATCAAAACTAGCAACAGAGCCTGTTGTGGTTAAATACAACGTTCCTGGAAAAACAATACATAATTATGTTTTTTTAATAATCGCCGCCCGAGAAGAAAAAAGGCACACCAACTTCTATTACTGATTTGGTCGCCATTCTTAAACACCAAAGCTACAATTTGCACAATGCCAGTCTGATTCATTTTCCATACTCCTGTTATAGCCTACTATTTTTTTATAAAGAGCTAACACAAAACTGAAATAAATGATTAGCCTATGGTGTAGTATGCTACAGGATGGTTCAAGGATTTTCAATGGTGTTTTAAATTTGTTTTCAATCACACTTTAAAAAAGACAAACTTCTTTACATAATTTATTAATGACAATGGAGTCTGATATCAAGGTCTTGAATTTTTTATTAGTAAAACGATTAATATTACTTAACTAATTAAATGCATTTTTTAAACTGTTATTTATTGTGTTAACTCGTTATTTTAAATGTGCAAAAATACTCTAACGTAAAAACAAGCAAAATAAAATTTTTACTCGGTGAAGCTATACGATTAGAGTTACGCATAGAACCTAAAATATATTTTAGGATAAAATTGTAATTCGATATAAATATCAATTGAAATATTCCATTCGATGTAGCCTAATACAGTAGACTCCCTCTAATCGTAACCGACCTCACATTAACCCTCCCAGTGTTACTTGACGAAAATTCGACAAGCAGCACACTTTGTGTAGTGTTACTTGTCGATTTTTCGACACGCAGACATCGTTTACGGCGAAGGCTCTATGACTGACTGAATCGGATTGAACTGGAACTCGTTCTTTCCGTAATATTCTAAGCTTTCTCCAGAGGTCTGTCTCAGCGCTGTACGTTCTCTGAGCCGATCGTAATTAATTGTAGCAGACAGCTGACTTGCGTGTGCGTGTATTTGTAAACAGCTAGGTTACCCTCGGACCGATGACTGATGTGTTTTATTACGTTTATCATTGTTTTAGTGTTAAAAATCAAAAGTAGTGATATACGTGTTGCATTATAAGGAGATTTAAGTGGTTTTGAAGTGCTGGTTGATGATCCTGAAGAAGTAGGTAGTGATATTAATGTAAATTATCAGCCAGATTCCTAGCTATGGTTAGGCTATGCATTCTTAGCTAAACGCTATGTACTGAAATCTGTTTTTTGCTTATAACTTATTTAATTTGCAAATCTACTTCCTTATATTATTATATGTTTGTAATCCTCATAAAATTTAGAACAAAGTGGCTATTTTCAAATATTTGTAGGCCTATAATTTATACAATTTCATTGAGCGCGAACCTATTTTTTTTTTGAAAATTTTCTAAATAATATTTTTTTTTACCTAAAATTTTTTTTTTTTAAATGTTCCTTATGTTTTATATATAATATTGAAGCCCATGATTTTCCAAACAAAATGGTATATAGAACATTAGAATTAACATTGTTTTAAGCTTCTCAGATCCGTTTTAATAAAACCTTGCAAATGCGCCAAAAATAGGTGGACATTAAGGCCTAAACTATGGACACTTGGAGGGTTAAATAACTGATAATCGGATTATCTGCCCTCGTTCGTAAAATATTACCGTACAGTTTGTTTTAACCACCCTTGTTTTGAGAGCGGTTCGGTTTTACTGCCGCTTTCTAGGAATCCCAGCATTTCTACTCCCACACTTCGGCGTTGGGAACAATAGCCTAAACTCTACAGGATGTTACTGAGAAGTTACCACGAATCCGCATAAAGCCCAACTTGCCTTCCACACATGCCTAATAAGATATGAAAAATTCAGTGCTCAGTTGTTTTTTAGATGTCTGTAAAACTGTAGGTACTTTGAATGCCTTTGCATTAGCCTAACTTATTTGATCTTCTTCTCTTCTCCTCCTTCAGTTTTCGTATTTTCATTTCATTTCAGTTAATCAAAACTTCAAACTATCTTATTTAATAGGCCTATTTGTGACTTCCAAAAATTTTTGCACCGTTATTTTCAGGTTAAAAGTGAGTCTAATACCTACTCTAATAGTTACTTTAATTACTTAGAATGGTAATTATTTACCCTATTTACACTGGGATTTGATGTAATTTTTATATGTCTACTTACAGTATTTTTAACGCTGAATCCAAAAATGCAATCAGTTTTGGGCGGAGAGATTCCTAAGTGGCCGTACAGTTATATAATTAATATTAAGCTTCAGTTTTGTTGATTAATTAACATATTTGTGGTATGGACGAGTCCAAGTTCTAGTCGCGACTAACACTAAAAGGGGTGGAAGGTTTGTGGTGTGGAAACAGCTGACAGTTGTTTACATTCACTAAACAGACAAAACCAAACATGACATGTGAAAATCGGAATAACATTTTAAAATGATTCAATTTCTAAAAGCAGACGGACTTCTAAGACGTTCCAAAAATACAATTACACAAAAACAATAACTTAGGCCTATATGAACTATTAATAAAATCAACATGTATCATTAATCAATAAATGTAATTTTACTATCGTAAATCGCGAGGATTTTTAGCCTATACAATAACACGACCGCATCACCAAATGCCAAATTGATACTGTCAACTGTCACTGCCACTGAATTGCTGTAATGTAGTTTGCTAACCAACCAATGGATTATTACGCTAAAATGCGCCCAGAAAATAGATCCAGATTAATAACATAATGCAATAGCAACTTATTAATTATCAAGTAAGTTTAATTATTGTTGCCGATTTAGAAATTAGTAATGGCTGATATTTGCAATGCTTGTGACCAAAATTTTTATGAAACGGTTGTGTTCGATGATAATGAAATTAAAAGTTTTTTAATTAAGCACGGGGTTGTAAATAACGAAACGAATTGTCCGAGGTGTCATTCAAACATTAAATTGAACGATAAGTGGTTTTTCAGATGCTGGAACAGAGTTTCAATTAACAAGAAGAAAGCCAAAAGGTGTGAGTGGGTACGATCTTGCAGAGTAGACACTTTTTTCGGCAAATCCAGACTACAAATTCGTACGCTTTGGCGATTAGTCAATCATTATCTTTTTTTTGACCCACCCCGGCAAAGATTCCTGGAAACAAATCTCAATCTGTCAAGTAAAACTGTTGTCGATTGGTATTCGTTTATTAGAGAAGTGTACATTGACGATTGTGTAACAAATTCTGAAAGACTAGGCGGGCCAGGTGAGATTGTTGAAATTGATGAGGCGAAATTTGGTAAACGTAAATACAATCGAGGGAGGCGAGTGAAGGGAAACTGGGTGTTGGGGGGAGTGCAGAGAGGCTCGACCAAAACATTTTTAATCCCCGTTCCTGACCGCTCAAGGCGCACGCTAATTCGACTAATCCGCCGCTGGGTTTTGCCCGGCAGTACGATTATTACCGACTGTTGGAAGTCGTACAGCAGATTGCGGGAGTACGGCTTCCAACATTTAACTGTGAACCACAGTACTGACTTTATTGATCCCGTCACGGGTGCACATACAAACCGAATTGAGCGGTGTTGGAGAGACGTTAGAGACCACATCCCCAAATACGGGGTGAGGTCCAAACATTTCATCGGGTACCTGGCGGAGTTCCAATTCAAGAAAAGGTACCCTAACAACAACCGAGTCCACGCGTTTTACAAGGCCGCAGCTAAGCTGTATAGGCCAAAATATTAAGCAAGGTAGGTTAAGTTAGAATATTTTCTGCATATATTACTGTAGTAGGAAAGTTATAAGTTATGTATTATATTTTAAACTAAGGTAACCTAATCTAACCTAACCTAACCTAACCCAACCTTAATATTGATATTTAAATAGCATTTTATGTAAGAAAAGGCATGTGAGGAAGATAGGTCGGACTTTATGCGGATTCGTGACTGTATTAAGTCCTTTGAAGTGAGGTTAGATTAGGTAAGTTAAAGGTTAGGTTATAATGAACTGATTCATTAATTTATGCAACTTCGAGACTGTTTTTGCACAATTAAATAGTGGGTGAAACACAATGAAATAACGATATCAAAAATGCGCCAGCATTTTTGATATTGTTATTTCATTGTGTTTCACCCACTATTTAATTGTGCAAAAACAGTCTTGAAGTTGCATAAATTAATGAATCAGTTCATTATAACCTAACCTTTACCTTCCTAATCTAACCTCACTTCAAAACACTTAATACAGTCACGAATCCGCATAAAACCCGACCTACCTTCCTCACATGCCTAAATAAGAACTGATTGATGAACTGATCATTTGATTTCAAAACGAATTGATTTGATTTCATTCCGCATTAGATCAAGTATAAACAGTTGTTTGCTCTTCTCACTCAGTTCAGTCCTCACTCCTCACTCTTCACTCAGTACGGACAATGGTACGGACCCGTTCAGACCACGCCATATTAAAGTACCATTACCTTCAGTACCGCTCAATTATCCTTGTTAGATTCGTAATCCTAACCTTCGTTTTACGGCCGCTACTGCCACTTAGGAATCTCTCCGACCAAAACTGATTGTATTTTTGGATTCAGCGTTAAAAATACTGTAAGTAGACATATAAAAATTACATCATATCCCAGTGTAAATACGGTAAATATTTGCCCTTAGAATTAACGCAAGATATCAATTTTCTAGCAAGGAAATATCGTAGGCTAACAAATAGGTTAGACCTAGTCATTTTACATAAGTTAACAAAACTTTAAACAGCCGTAGTTCCGTTAATATTTATGAGCGCGGAAAAACTTTTGCACCATTATTTTCAGCTAAAAAATCTAGTTTTTGGTGATATATAAATCTATATAGGTTCAGGTTCCCATGTTAAATAAATAGGCCTAGGCCTACCTGTAAATGTTAGGCCTACCGGTAAACTTACCTAGTTTTTTATTGAGCTAAACAAGCCAAACTGGACAAAACTAACCTAACTGCCACAAAACAGTACAAGAAATTCTTCTTATAATGGCCCTATTGCTTTAAATATTCGGATGCACTTTGCATCAATCGATATATCGATTAATCGATTGTTTCATTCTCGATACATTATATCGTTTGGTTAGTTATGTAAGGTAAACCTAACCTAACTAACCAAACAATAGGATCGAATGAAACAATCGAATAATCAATATTTTCATTCGAATGAGGACAACAGTATGTATACCGAACGGCAATGGCCACATACACAGCACTAGTGATGTGCGATACGTATCGTATCGTATCGGAATATCGCGATACGCGAGGGACGATACGATATTTTGATACGATATTTAAAAAACGATACGTATCGTATCGCCTAAAACGATATTTGTATTTATATCGGCACATAGAGCGATACGATTCATGTCAAAACGATATTTGTAAGCTTATTTGCGCAGGCCAAGCAAACTGCAAAATCTGTACTCTGTGGATGTGTAGTTTGAAATAGGAGTTTGTGACGTCTATATTTTTGGTTTTTACTTGATAATGTACCAGTCCCATCCCAGTCCAGTCCATTTTCACTAGCGTTCTATCTAGAGTCTATATTTTTGGTTTTTACTTGATAATGTACCAGTCCCATCCCAGTCCAGTCTCCTCCAGTCCATTTTACTAGCGTTCTATCTAGCGTCTATATTTTTGGTTTTTACTTGATAATGTACCAGTCCCATCCCAGTCCAGTCTCCAGTCCATTTCCACTAGCGTTCTATCTAGCCTAGCAGTGCAGTGCAGACTGCAGATTGTGGAAACTGTCAACTGTCTGTGGCAATTACATTTCATTAATTTATCTGCAATCCTAAAATGCTATGGGAAGGAAAGGGAAACAGGTCCAAGACGTAGGGAGTTGTGAAGGAAGTAGTAAAGGCGAGCAGTGTGGAGTAGTGTGGGAATGGATTAATGTATCTGCAATACTAAGACTGTTTTCAGAGTAAACTAATGATTTTCTCCGAGCAAAGCTCGGTCCCCAGGTACTTAAATAAATTTGCTGTTTCTAGGTTAGGTAGGGGAGGGGGGGAAACGATACGATACGTATCGTTTTTCGATATTTTTGACGATACGATTCGCGTATCGCGATACAGACGCCCGATTCAATACGGCGATACGATATTTTTTTCCGATACGTATCGTATCGCTGTATCGCGATACGCGTCCGTATCGCCCATCACTACACAGCACTTTTGTTGTAGCCCACAGGGTGAGCGAGAGTTGTAGTACGTGATGGTGAGGAGGAAAAGAGAGGAAGACGAATAGAATTTTTGCTGCTACACTAGGAGTAACTTATTTGGCAAATCAAAAGTAGGCCTACACACTTACTTGCTGTAAGACTTCACACCTTTCTAGAAGAAGCTGATATTTTCGGACGTAAATGTCAATTTCTACAGCTCCATCTTCTGACTCATCTGAGTACAAGTTGTCAGAGCTTGGAACTATCATTTCATTCATGAAATTATTACTTTATTCAGTGGATATGATCCTTTGTTACCATAACATTACACTTTTACATAAAACGTATGTTAAACATAATCAGTAATCATCTAGTTTTATGTTCAGAATTCTTGTTTTTAACTTATCTTTATTTTTATTTATTATATTAGTAAATATTCTTAACTTAACAGAAATCCGAATGAATAAAAATTACTCGTTATCGTGTTTTGAGGTTGAGTTGACTGACTTTACTTTACTGACTAGTGACTAGAGACTATTATTGTTTGTTTTTGTTTTCTGTCTCAGGGTTTCAATTTCAGTGTTTCAGTGTTTCCAATTTCCAAGTCCAATACTAGGTCCTACGACGGCGCTGAAGGGCCACCAACTATAAAAAAATATTTTTTTTAATCTCTGAGAAAAAACTTAGAATTCTGAGTTTAAAGTCAGAATATAACAAGTGGGCGTTCCACTCTGAGATAAAAGTCAGAATTCAACTAGTGGGCGTTCCCCTCTGAGATTAAAGTCAGAATTTAACCAGTGGGCGTTCCTCTCTGTGAAAGGAGTTAGAATTCTGAGATTAAAGTCAGAATTGAATTGTGGGCGTTCCTCTCTGGGAAAAAAGTCAGAATATAACTAGTGGGCATTCAACTCTTAAGTCAGAATTGAACTGTGGGCGTTCCTCTCTTATTGCAACGATATTATCAGCATATCGATGATATCATCCCTACTATCTTAGACAAAAGAAATAATATAAATATCATTTCTGTTGTCTATTCTACTGTGTTCTTCTACTTGCAACGTTGCCAATTCTACCAGGCCGCGGCCTGGAGTTTAAGGTGGCCGTGAGAAGACTACAGTAGAGTACGGCCGCCTTGGTGGTCGTGGTAGTAGAGACTAGATAAGTAAAATTCTTATGTTAATCTCAGAGATGAACGCCCACAATTCAATTCTGACTTTAATCTCAGAATTCTAACTCCTTTCACAGAGAGGAACGCCCACTTGTTAAATTCTGACTTTAATCTCAGAGGGGAACGCCCACTAGTTGAATTCTGACTTTAATCTCAGAGTGGAACGCCCACTTGTTATATTCTGACTTTAAACTCAGAATTCTAAGTTTTTTCTCAGAGATTAAGAAAAATATTTTTTTTATAGTTGGTGGCCCTTCAGCGCCGTCGTAATGTCCAATACCACCAAAACTAAATTGTTGTCTGCTATCACTGAGCTATTGGAATGGGCACACGGGAGGGACTAAGGCTAAAGGTGTAGTGACGTCATATCTCTAGTGGCAAATGTCTTCTCTTGATTCGACACGATTACCGTAACGAAACATTGTGATTTCAGCGACGTTCGTTGCGTAGTTGGTAGCGATTCGGATAGGTGTTCAGGAGGTCCCGGGTTCGAATCCCGCTGGCAGCACTAACTTTTTGTCAACAAATTTTTCATATCAGCAAGTTTGGTTGGTTAGGTTATGACAGTTTAATTTTATAATACTAAATTTTAAAATTAATTTTATAATTAATTAAAAATTATAAGTAATCATTAATTAGAATTTTATCTTATATAGTTTTTATATTATCAGCAAGTCTGGTTGGTTAGGTTATGTTATGACAGTTTAATTTTAAAAATTAAAAATTTATTTTATAATTTAAAAAAAATATTTTATAATTAAAAAGTTTATTGTATAACTAAAAATAAAAATAAAATTAATTTAAATTTTTCAACTTAGCAGTTCTAGCGGCGAACGCTGACACTACAAGATATGTTAGCGTTAGCCTTAGTCCCTCCCGTGTGCCCCACCGCTGAGCTATCTGCTATAAACGCCGAACTCTTCTTATTGTCCCTTATACGCATGTAACTGTAACTACTGCGGGTCGCTGTCAATGCGCCACCACGTCAAACCGCCACCTCGGTGTTTTGGTCAGAGGCGTCAACCCGCCACCACAAAAAAACCGAGGTGGCGGGTTGACGTGTATGTATAGGTCAACCCGCCACCTCGACAACAGGCCACCATGACAACCCACCACCATACAATTTTCCGAGGTGGCGGGTTGTCGTACACACTCAAGTCAATGAGCCACCACGACAACATGCCACCACGACTACCCGCCAACACCAGTTTTTATCAGAGGTGGCGGGTTGTCGTGAAGCTCCATGTTCGATGTCGGCAACCCGCCACCTCGCACGTAGGCGACAACGCGCCACCCCGTCAACCCGCCACCACTCTTTTACGAGGTGGCGGGTTGACGTGTACGCTCAGTGTTCGGTGCCGTCAACGCACCACCTCGCTCATAGGTGACAACGTGCCACCTCGAAACACACCACCATGCACTCTTGTCGTAAATCGGTTGGATTTATATTCTGTAGCATTAAATATATTGTACGTTGATTCAGTTAAGTTAGAGAAAGTTAATGTAACTCTTAAATAGCATTTCTGGAAATTTTAGTTTATTTTCGGAAGAAAGATTGATAGGTAATACAATTATTAACATGGTGAAAACCCGACATTTGAAAGGGTCTCACGCCCTTAAGGGTAGTAAGTATTAAATTGTAAAATCTTAATGCAAAACTACGAATTGGGCCGAATCTTTTAACACCCTAAACGTTAAAATTTGTCCACAAATAAGGGAGGAGTAGTGTTCACAAAAAACAGCCCTCACGTATTAATATGAGATATGATAATGTATACCAAAAACGAATTATTTTACTTAATTGCTAGTGAATAAACAATGTTTTTTTTCATTAGGCATATATATATATATATAAGTTTTTATGCGCACCTACCACCACGTGCGCACGCCAAATACGTGTGAAAAGCATACATTTTATAAATTTAAACCGGCAGTAGTCAGGGATAGTTGTGCCATATAATGGTGATTGCGAAAGCAAGACGGAAATAAAATTGTATTCACTTGAATTCAAAAGGTAATTCGGGTGAAATGATCGGTATTTAGTCTGTGATTAGACCACGAATACTAGAAAAGACCCGGCATGGATTATAAACATAAACAAAAATGATGTTTAAAAAAATAGTACAACACCCTGTAATAATTATGGTCCAAAAGTTATTGCAGATTTAATGATTTTTAACTATATACTATCACCGCTTTCCCAGGATAAAGGATGTTAACAAGCTTATGGGAGAAAGTATGTTTCAGAATGCTGATACCGTTTATTTTTACACTTGTTTTGTCATTTCTAATGTGTGATATTAAGTAATCGTCCGTGATATGAAATAAATTGAATAACGTATATTGACGCTTTCAATTGGCTGAAGGCCACTGAGGCAGAGTCCTGATGAAATTTCAAAATGTTTTGTTTTATGGCAAATTTACAAGTCACGACCTATCCAACGACACCTTAAACTTTATGATCGGATGTGTAGCAGTTTCAAAACAATGTTCACAACATTTGGGCTGGCCAATTAAATATTTAAATAATGATGATGATTATATGTAGGTAGGTAAATGTATCCTCGACTAAACAATTTTCACAATGTGCAGTATATCGTATCTACATAGGTTAAAATAATATTACTGATTAATTTGAAACTTAATTACGCATCAAGCAGTTTCATTATACAGTATAATACGATTAGATACAAATTTGACATAGGATTATAACCTGAAAAAAAGTCAAAGCCAAAGTCCTTTATTTTTGTTAACCTGATTTTTGTTTTGATAAATAATTGGGGGGTTTCACAAGATAATGACCATTGGTACCATTTTCCTCCGTTTAATAATTGATCAACGCTGTTTGGCGAAATAATATTACATTTGGATGGTAAAAATGTAACTGGCCTAAGCGTTTATTTCAAGTTACGGCCTGATTCATATATGTTGAAGTACAGTGATACTAATTATGTGACGGTCCCAAAAATTCCCAGACCCATTACATATCAGTTGGGGAGGTTTTGGTTACACCCTCAGGAAACCCTGTCTTTACCGTCACAGAAGCTTTGCTTTATTTCAAATATAAAAAGAGGGTATGTAATATTGGACTGTTAACCTCCCAGCTTTTTGCGTCAACCAGTTGCCTCACCATGGAATATTCCCTCAGCATGGCTCAGCGCTGGGTCAGGCCAACGTTCTCGGAAAGTGTAACGCGCATGGCTGGAATTTGCTGATACAGCTCAGCAAGTCGCTCGATGAAATCAGTTAATGCGCAACTATAGTTTGCCTAATGCCCTGATGAATCGTTAGGCAGCAGCACCGTCCAGGGCTTGCACTGACGTCACGCGGCATAGCCGCAACGTGATTGGCTGGTTCCCCTCCACGCCCAACTCTGGGCTATGGGAAGAGCGCACTCAGTTCAGTTAGTCTAAATTCTAAATCCAATTCAATCGGTCATGTAAATTCCGCGTCGCGTCGCCTTTCCCCATAGCCTCCTCGGGAGGCTATGTCCCCCAATAACTTATTTGTGTTGTAAACTAAATTTATAGGATTATACAGCAAGTCGATAGCTAAATACTTTACTACTGTTTTTATTATAAGTAAATAAATCATTTATTCGTAGTGCATTTTCGTTGTTTCATTCGGCTACCTGTCCCATGGCGCCTACTTGTAAAACCGATAGTCCTTTTTAACAGTACATTAATAAAATACTTATGAAATAGTTACACAGAAAGAATACTAATTATATAATAATAGAAAAAGAAGAATCTATTAATGTCTGGAGCTCCATTTAAAAGTGTCCTGCCACTTACTTATTGCGCGCACTGCACTAGTCAACTTACGCCACCCAATGTGACTGCAATCGGGGGCGGTTTAGTTCAGCAACAAGTTGCAGGCTGGGCATGCCCTGTCTATCTTCCGCGGAAGGCCTGACCTCTACACTGGAGCGCTCTGGTTCCATCTCCCTTACTGCTGGTGCCTCTTCCTGATCTTGTGTAGTTCTCGCAACAGCGGCTCGCAGCCACAGGGCTGCTCTACGTCTCCACCTGTAAACGAGAAAACAGCTATTAGAATAATCGAGATGGAGAGGCCACCCAGTTTCAACTTTTCAACATTCTTTAGTTGCAAATGATGGAATCTGAGGAGCTGGAAGGCATTCTCAAAAGAATACTCCTTTACGCTCAGAGTGCCAAGCTGGTAATTATTTTGGCTACTTCTCAAGGACGTCCTTTAAACATTACATCACAAATACACACGTCATGGCCATGACCAGGGAGGCTCTTAGCTCCCAGCAGATCCCTCTTAGCAGACAGCTTGCGTATGTCTGCCCAACGAAACCCGTTGGCAACTTCCAGC